ATCTTTTTCAGTTTGCGCGCGCGAACACACACACTCATTATATATATATATATATAACCGCCCCAATTAACTTCTCACGTTGGACTCTTAAACCCCATGAAATTAAGGTGGGCGCCTAAAAAAGCATTGGTTAGAACATGCCTAACTAAGAAAATTGTAACTAATTCAAGAATATTATAATAAATATATATATATATACACATACACACACACACACACACACACACATATATATATATATATATAGGACTTCATTAGGCTAGCTACATAATTAAATTATTGTGTGGAAAGTTCTATGCTGTCCATGTGATGCACATTCGTAATCAAGTGTTCTTAGAAGTATGTCTCTCTTTTAATTGGTTGGAAATTTAACAACCCTGTTAGAGAATCTTTGTCAAAAAGGGAAGGTTTAAAAAACATTTGCCCCCATCCCTCCCACTTCCAAATATATATATATATATATATATATATATATAGCATGTAGCAACTCAACATATGCGTGGGTGTTTAGTGCAATTTAACCTCACTATTATAACTATATATATATAGCATGTAGCAACTCAACATATGCGTGGGTGTTTAGTGCAATTTAACCTCAACATATGCATATGTTGAGGTTAAATTGCACTAAACACCCACGCATATGTTGAGTTGCTACATGCACTCCTCAACTATCAAACATAGTACTTAAGTCCTCAAATTTTTTAAAAAAATGCCTCAAATTGCACCCTTGAGATTGATGACCACTAAGTATCCTATATGAAATTTAAAGGTTCACTTGTGACCCGTTGCCATGAATTTCATTAATAACCAATTCTTCTAAAAGTTCATATGTTGAGGTTAAATTGCACTAAACACCCACGCATATGTTGAGTTGCTACATGCACTCCTCAACTATCAAACATAGTACTTAAGTCCTCAAATTTTTTAAAAAAATGCCTCAAATTGCACCCTTGAGATTGATGACCACTAAGTATCCTATATGAAATTTAAAGGTTCACTTGTGACCCGTTGCCATGAATTTCATTAATAACCAATTCTTCTAAAAGTTCAAAAAATTCCAACATTACCAAACTCTTCTTGACAAATGAGAAATTTTCTTTTCTGAAAGTGAACGCAAACACATACGGAGTATTCATTATCTATAATATTTCTCTGAAGGAATTCGAATTATGCACTTTCCTTTTGATTGAGTAGGTAGAAAAAATCATACCATCCGAGTTAGAGGTTCGATGATTCCTTGATTAATGAGATATCTACATAAATTCTTTATACAATTAAGTTTTGTTAAAAAGTCTAACATAGGGCATCCCTTAATTTCTCCTAATTAACCAACTCTCTAAGTCCACACAATTCGTTCAAAGTGGCCCCGCTCTCAAGTTCCGTACGCGAATTTACGATTTGGGAGTGAATTCGCACAAAATTCGCGAATTCAATTTTTGTAATTCGCGAATTTATTTTCCTAATTCGCTATTTTTATACAAATTCACTTTATACAGCTAAATTTCTTACGGCTGGAACACTTATATTATCATATATGCATTTATTACTTACATTATTATTCAGTATACAAATTAATTACTTAAACTGCGTGTATGCCCAGCTGTATAGCATTGTTATACTATCATATATATATATATATATATATATATATATATATATTTAAAAATATACCATTAAAATGATTTCCAATTGGAGAATATCATAAATAAATCACACATCTATTAGTGAGAAAAATTAACTTATTTGTTACATATATATCATTAATGAAATAAAAAATAAAAAATATATTTACATATATGTGGATTTAAATATATAAAAAAATACAAAATATATATGACATGATTTTATATAATTTTATTTATACTTAATATACAGACGCTCTCAAGACACTCTCACTTTAAAAAAAAAAATTAGAATTTTGACACTACGTGACTTGCCCAACTCCTTGAAAGAAAAAATAGATCATTCATCAATTTTATCATTATAAAAAACAGTTTATTGGACTCTGATAAGGGTGTTAAATTACCAATGTAACCTCACTACTTGGCATGACAATACAAGACAAAAGCATTTGTGGCCATCAAAATCAAACTCATATGAAGACAAATTGAGATCTTCTTGTTCCCATACCCTTAATGGATAGGATGAAAAAAACGGAGGCTCTCTCTTCTCCATCATCCAATTCTGAGTTCATTCAATTCCCTTTGGATGACCTCATGAATTACCTCCTAGTAGTCCTCAAGAGTTAACTCTAGTATGTATACATATATATATATATATACACATATACACACACCGATATAGTCACATGCAAATATATACATATATACATGCAGAGAGATGTTATATAAGCCCATCCAAGGAAGGAGTGGGCTTGGATAGACATGAATAGGAAAGAGCTCTACGCCTTTTTGAATGGGGATCGATTTAAGTATAGCTAGAATTAGACACGTGTTGATAAGCCTCTTATCTACAATGCAGTCTGCCCAGTACGTACATTTACAATACTAGGACCCAGGGATCTCCACCAACTTTGTAGCACATGTTTTTTTGGTTTCTAATTGCACTCAGTTGCATATATAGCTGCTTAAATAAAATATCACGGGTGTATTTCCATGCACAAGCTTACAATTGAGTGGACACACACACACACAAATATATATATATTTAATGTATCCCAAAATTTCCAATACTAATATATAACTAGAATTCGGGCTAAGTCTTGATCTACTTTATTTCATTGTGATTTAGAGTTTACGAGTTTGCAATAAAAAAAATAAAATTTTTATATTTAGAGGTAAGACTGTGTATATCTAACTTTTTTCAAACCTGTACACTAAGTTTGTCATTTCTTTTTTAATATATAACTTGACGGTTATATTATTTTCTTGGTTCAAATCTTTTACTTAGTGAATACATTTATATGGATTAGAATCACCTGGAAGCAAAGAAGTACCACATGGTATTGTATATTTTGTTAAATACGAAGTAGTGATTAAAATGAGAAGTCCGTGAGTCTGACACATTGACTTTTTTATGTGTGTGAACGATAATGCCAATATAAGATAATTAATGTTATTTTCACTCGCATAAATAAAATAGAATAGATCTACTTTTGAACTTTGTATATCACAACTCGCACGAAATCACCAATCACTCTCTAGAAGAATGAGTACTTGATTAAAATGGCATAACTCCTTCAGGATGCGTTATAAATTAGTGGTTGGTGATGCTGTTATGGAGATTATTATTATTATTATGTAGTTGTCATATTGATGCCCAACGAGATGATTGAAGAGGAAGCATTTTCACTACTCAATCACTGTTGACTTTCATAATAAGGAGTGATAATGAGTATCAATGGTAAATTTAATAAATAATGTTATTAAGAGAACTCTTTTATGACAAGAGTCGCGAGATCTCTTTAAAAATTGTTGAATGGATAGATCTATCGAAAGATTTGTTTGATTTTTCATAAATATAAAAACCTTGTAGGATCAATCCGGTAGTAAATAAATAGAGAGTTTACGCTCAGGGGTCTATTAATATCATTACTCAAATTTAACTAAACTTAGCATGTGTACAACACTCTAACGATCGAAATTAAACAGTCAAAGCTGTTCGTCCTGATAATGAAATCAGACTGTAGTCTCAATTAAAAGAGAGTTCATGTTTTTTGTCACAGAATCTCTTGATAATGAAATGAAAAAGTCAAACTCGTTCTTTTATTTTTAAAAATGTATGGCAGTGCTTGTGCTGTTATAGGGATATACAGTGCTTGTAGTCACAAATTGGAGCATGCAAAATGAGAGTTGAGTTTTTCATTTCTTGTCATGGGGTGAACTGCAACTTGACGCTACGGTTCAAACTACTTCTTCTTTTTCCCATTACGAATATAATTTCTATTTTTAGATCTTTCCAGTCAAAATACCTTTTGCACCTTACTATTTCAACTTAGATATACATAAATGCGCACACACACATATATATATATATATACATTGTATGATACACACTTTGATTCATCTCCATAAAATCTGGATAGATATGATACACACTTTAATCACTACGTTGTTAGTAAGCAAAGTTGATGATTGGCTCACTCTAACCTGACATCTCATTAGTACGTCCCTTCATTCTTTAATTTAGTCCACGTAATCAATCATGCATGACAGCCAGTCACAACATATTGCCATGTCATCGTGTATAGCAACATCATTTCTTTGTCAATGAACATTAGCCTAAATGATATGATCTTTCTTTTCTTAAATGATATGATCTTTCTTTTCTCAAAAAGGGATGTTGAGCTGTGCTAGAGGCAATAGCATGGATAATATATATGATCTTTCTTTTTCAAAGGCGACATTGACATCTGCTAGAAGCCATATCATGGGTGTGATCCAAGTGGGTGGCCAGTGGCGCAAGGTCACACCTTATGAAGTATTAAGTCTGAGGTTCGACTCTCACTGAGTGCAAACAATTTCTTAGGTCACGTCTTCATATATACTCAACGATTATCTAGCCTTAGGTGGGGAGATGCTTTCTTGTGGCGAAGCCCCGAATACCCCAAATTAATCTAATATAAATATACCATGAGTGTGTGTCTGTTTCAACTTTCGAAAAATATACTAGTTCTATCTCACTCTCTCACACAAAAAAATAAAAACACAAGAAACCCAATCACACACAAAAAACATATAAACACAAGAAACCCAATCTTCATTGCTGAATTATAACATTATAATTTGCACAACGACACCAAACAGTACCTTATAAGCTACATTAGTTTCTTAACGTGAAGACCAAGCTCCATCAACATCTTCACATACAATAAGACTCATAAGAAACATAGCCAAAAAAAAAAAAAAAGCTAAAAATCAAACTGGACAGACTAAAAATCAACAAACAAACAAAGAACAAATTTAACCCACAAACACAATATATATATATATATATATATATATATATATATATATATATCTCCAAACTTATGTGGACTACATGTCCCTAACTTCAAACATGTTGCGGTTCTTAACAACGATATCGAACATGTGCATGGACTTGAACTTGTTGAAGTCCTTGGGGAGAGAGATGAGATGAACTGTGGATCGTTTGTGGAACTGAAGAAGGTCAGGATCATCGTAGTATCGCTCCCACCCGAGCGACGACAGCTTTTTTTCAAGAACTGTATAAGAAGAAATGACTTCATTACTTGGAAGATGGACTAGCACTTTCCGGCGAGTGCTGGTGCCCATGGACTCGGCTGCCGGGTTCTCGACCAGCCGGACCACCCCATTCTTGAAAACCCAAACACCAGACATTTTGGGAGAGAAAGTGATAATGAGAGTGAAGCTGCTGGTTGGTTACAAGCTTGGAGATGGAGTACTAAGGAGGAGGAATGAGTTGGGGGGGTATTTATAGGGGTAGCCTTGGAATACTATATATGGAAATATAATATTATACTAAATTGGGTCTGAATGAGAGCATGTTTGGGTACGGGTATAGGTAAGGTGGGGTCCATTTAGGGCAAGTCTAAGGATAAATATTCATGGTCAGGGTTATTAGGCAAAAGTATTGTATATTGTGTGGGTATATAATCATCAAATTGTGGGGAATCCAATATCTCTGATTTTCCAAGTCTTTGAACCAAACATGTAAGAGAATCTTAGATTTCTAAAAAAACATTTCAAATTGAGACTTTTCTAGGTAAAAGCTGGTATAACATGACTTCAATGTAATGCTTGCGTAACTATCATTTTATTTTATTTTATTTGGTAGGTAAGGTGAAAATTAATTAGAGTAATATTTCTATACAAGTGAATAGGCTTTTCCTTGTAGTTATTGATGTAGTCTAATAATAAATGAATGCGTATTTTTAATTTAATTACAAAATTAAAAAAATAATAAATAACATAAATGAAACCGAATTGACCAGCTTCATTGGGGGTAGCGTGCATTTGTACTTTATTTATTTTATAATGAAAGGAGATGAATGTGTAAGTGCATGTATTTTTAAAAAATCTAAAATGAAGTCCAAAATAAAACTCTCTCTAATTATTACGAAAAAAAAATATTATTATAACATTGAAAAATGCAATTTCAGGATCTTATAGGATGGAATGTTATGAAAAGATGACATGAAGCACAAGCAAATTAAAATTATTAGGTATTAACTGTTAGACCGTTTTCAATCTGAAAGGGGTCACTGCAAGTTAAAACAGGGTCGTCAAATTGTGCCAAGTAATTTTATAACTTGTCTTATATATATATATATATATATATATATATATATATATATATATTTGATAAAGGAGGCTTAGGATGGAATATATATATATTTGATAAAGGAGGCTTAGGATGGAACCATTCCATCTCACAAGTTGGAGTTGGGATGGTCATGGGATGAGATATATCCATATTTGGAAAGCGGGGGATGTCTCTAGCACGTAGCCATCAATTTTCTTTTTTTTTTTCTTTTCTTTTCTTTTTAGGTAAAAGCTAAGTAGATGTAGCTATCATATTAATACACTTTGTATTTAGTGCATAGTCAAAGAAGATGAGTCTATGTTGATAATTGTGATTAAAAGAATTTCACATAGCCGACATAATTAACTTCTAAATATTTTCAGTTCTAAGGTTGCATTGACAAGAGCTATCACATACGATATTTCACCTTAAAACTATGAAATAGCGTTTTTCTTAACTTCATCGTATATATCATGGATCTAAGTTATTATTTTTCCTACAATTTCAATAATGTGCAATGTGAATCATCATATATGTATATTAAGACTTATGGTTTAGTGGTATATTTCTTCTTTTTATTGTAAAAGGTAAAATGTGTGATTAGCGGTGCAGAAGATGTTAATTGATTAAGTTGTGAATTACTATTTTAATGACCTAGAGGGAGTGAATAGGTCAGCTTGCCCAATCTTCGTGATTAATTAATTTACCTACATTGATGATCAATTAAACATCCACAACTATAAAAATATAAGTTATAAAATAAAACAAGTAAAGTACACCGGATTTTTGAGCGTGGACATCCTAGTTGAAAGAAATCTGACCAATTAGGATGAAAACCACGAGGACTTTCGCAGCCCTGAGTGAAACGATCCACTATTATTAAAGCAAAGTACAATGGACTTTGAATCAGACTCACACATTTTTGATCTACCCAAAAACCAATTGTTGACAGTCTTCTTCGACTTTACAACTCCCCCGCTCAACAACTCTTGACTCCAAACTTACTCTTGATCTCTGTAAAAGAATTGTTGGTAGATCAACCAACATTTCACAAATGTCTTGGTCACTTCAAAGTGTGACCGAAACTTTATTTTCATTCAAAGATGAATTTTGTGAAGGTTTGTAGAAAATCTATTGTTTTGATCAACTTGTAATCTGATGTAAACTTTAAAGAATAACATTACCCCAATCAATCTCATGTTTAAGTATGTGCTCTAAAAAACATACAATTAGACTTCTCTAAAAAAAATCTCAAAAAGCTTCAATATTTATGTAAAGGATAAAAACTTTGATTTTCCAATTTAAGCCATCAATCTCTTTATTAGGGTTTGATAAAGATGTTATTTATAGATATATCTGAGAATCTTTATAACAAGTAAAAAGAGCTTTTAAAATCATGTAGGGACTGCTCTACAAGTTTGGGTAAAAACTGAAAACTAAAAAGTTACAAAAAAATATAATTTTTTGCACATTCAGGAAAGTGCACATGGTTGGACATTGGAGTGCAACTGGTTGGAATTTTCCAGAGAACAGTTCTTTCGTTGGAAGGGAAACCAGTTGAAGAGTAAAGTACAACTAGATGGAGGGTGAAGTACAACCATTTGAACTTCGCTGAAAGCTGATTCTAACCTCTGTTCTTCTACCTAACTTTAAAAAGACTCACTAGTGTTCCTCACTCACATACTTGTTCTAAATGATGTTCTCAACAGATTCAACGATAAGAGACACTTGCACTTCAGGTCCAAAAGACCGAGGCTCAATAAAAACAATAATACAACTTGATCATCAAGTTTTGACTCCGAAATTTGCCAACATTACAAATTTATATCTCACAAAAGGTAGAGATCTAGTTTGAGTCTCTCCAAGAGTATTGTGGGAGTTAATGACAACAGAATATATATGGATTCACATATATATATATATAAATCATAATATATATATAATGTACACTTAATATGTATTAGGGATATTAACACCCTTCAATTAACTCTTGGCCAATTTTTGTTGAGAATTAAATCTCTCATTCACCATACACAAAGGAAACATCATCATCACACAAGCATTTATAGAGATAACAATCATACACATTAACGCCCAACACAATATTTTATATGATTCACACAATTCTAGGGCTATGTCCATAGGGAGAGAGATTTCACTATTATGTATCGAGAAAGAGAATACATAACCATAGATGTCAAAACCCACACACTCTTTCACGCTTATGTTCCACATGAATTACAAATACTCTTCCATATCCTCACACCACTCACCTTTTTAGTCCCTTATATCTTTTCAATCTCTTTCTCTATCTAAAATCTTCCGTATTTATAGAGACTTCAATTACTAAATCCTTGTTGGAAAAAAATTCCGCAACTTTCCTATAAGGAGTTACCAAAACAATTTTAAACTCTAAAATAGAAGAATCTTAGTGATAAACAAATTCCTCCACAAGTCTAGGCTTTTTAGAAAGCCCCAAATTGCCAGAAAAGGAAGCCAATTCCCGCACATGAATTTCAATCAACAAGCCCAACAATCTCCACATTGGCTTGAATTTTGTCTTCACGTGCTCCTCCATTACTCTATTTCGACTGAAGATCTCTCAACCTCAAACCAAAACTCTTATTCTTTCCTTCCTTCCCATTGGTTTATAATTGCTCATGCATGGCAACTCACCAATAATACTTTTACTCGCCATTTTTCTAGCTCAAAGCAGCAAAACCTTCTCTTCAAATTATTCATACCATACTCGCCCCATTTTGAAAACTAGCATCCACTATTTAGGTTGTCCCAAGATTTGTTCCTTATAGGTTTGTGTCTTCACACCATCTATCTTCTTTATGTCATCATCAAACTCAGATTGAATCTCCAAAGCATCCACAATCAATCTCTGCTATCACAAACTTCACATTAACCTTCTGCTCTGATCTTCAAGTCCAACCACATGCTCTGACCCACCATTGACTCTGATACTAGTTGTTAGAGATACTAACTCCCTCCAATTAGCTTAACTCCCTCCAATTAGCTCTTAGCCAATTGTTGTTGAGAACTAAATCCCTTTTTTATCATACACAACGGAAGCATCATTATCACATCATCACACAATTAAGCATATATGGAGATAATAATCATACACATACATCAATTCATAACATAGTATTTTACATGGTTCACCTAACTCTGGGGCTATGTCCATGGAGAGAAAGATTTCACTATTATGTATTAAGGAAGAAAATATACAACCATATATGTCAAACTCCCACACATTCTTTCACTCTTTTCTTTTTGCACTATTTTGTTCTTTTCCAAGCTAAGAATACTAGAACCCCTTTTTGTTATTTGTCGGGCTAAAAATACAGAATCCCTCTATGTTCTTTTCCGAGCTAAGAACACCATAACCCCTTTTTTCTTAGGCTATATCCACCAGAATTACATATACTCTCCCCTCGCCTCACAACCCTAACCTTTTCAATTAAGACCTTGCATATTTTCTTTATTTCTATCTCTATCCAAACACATCTCTATTTATAGAGTCTTCAAGTACCAAATTCTTGTTGGACAAGAATTTCACAACTTGCCTATAACGAATCGTGAAGTATAAAAATGTAACTGGCACGTTCCAGTGTCAAAACAAGTATGATCGAGTTGTAATATTTGTTTTATTTTAATCTCAAGGACGGAAGCAGAACAACAAGTGCTATTTTATTTCGTGATCATTAAGAGAACACTTAGACATGTAAGTGAAGTGGAACAACAAGTGTCATCTTACTTCATGACCATCAAGAGAACACTTAGACAAATAAGTGTAGTGAGAATACACTTAGGTTATGTTTTATATTGAAGGCTAGAGATTTTAGAGTCAAAACTTGTTTATTTTTACTCTTACGAAAAACAGAACCGGTGGTGTTTTAAATTACAATCGGTTATTTTTCTCAGAAGGAAAACAAATAGCTCTGAATAAAATTGCAACTGGTGTTCTTCAAAATCAGAATCGGTTGTGTTTTCTCGAACCAAAAAAGAAAGTTCTTCTCAATTAAGACATAGATTTGATTAGTTTTCTGATTGGGTTTTAGAG